AGCCTGTCCACTTGCGCATTCATATCTCCGGCAACCACCACAATGTCTGAGCTTTTTGCTCGCCGCAGCAGATCATTCAGGGCGTCGTAAAACCTGTCTTTGACGGTGTCAGAGCTACAATTAGTTGGGGCATATGCAGACACGATAAGCAGGCATCTATTAACTTGCCGCTTGTGAGACTCCTTCACAGACGTTGCTAGACGGACCGCACAGAGGCGACTATCAGCAGGTATCCAGTCAAGTAGGGATACTTCCGCCCGGTGACTTAGCACAATACCAACCCCTGCACATCCCATTGCAGCAGCCTCTGGATCACCAGAGGTGCGCAGCCCGGAAGCGAGTGGAGACTGATGGGGCGGTTAACTCAATAACTGTGGTTGCACCTTGAATTCTCGTTTCTGAGACACAGCACACATCAATGCCAAGCGAGTCCAGTTTGAGTGCAAGAGCCGCTTGTTGTCCTACTTGCTTCAGAGTGCGAACATTGAACGCGGCCAGGTAGACTGGGTAAAAAATAAAAAATAATGAATAATAATCGTTCAGCTGCAGCGCACTTTCGGTGCCTGGCTGCCGTACCACCCGCAGGAAGAACGAGGGCTGGGATACTTCCAGGTTGTCCAAGCCTAGACAGGGGAAGTCGAGAGACAGAGGTCGGGTTCGAACCACGGGCCTTCCGATCAGCAAATTCGCGCTCTATCCACTTGGTCCATCTCGCCCCTAGGTGGTGCTGGGTCTACAAGGAAAGGGTTCTTAATGGGGTGGGGAGAGGGAGAAGAAAAAATACGTGAAAGAGAAAGAAGGGAGGCTTCAGCAGTAGCCTGTTTTCGCTTACCCGCCCTGCTGTATGCAGCGAGTAAGACAACCCGGCTGATGGCACCACGCGACGGTCGATGTGGCATGAGTTTATCTGCATATGTGCGTTTCATAGTTGTATGTTCTATTCAATCCAGTTTATTAGCTATAACCCGTGTGCCATAGACACACTGGTTCTAGCTGCTACAGTTTTAATCACCAGAAAACGGGAAAGTGGAATGCAAAACTAAGCCTCGGAGGTGAAGGCATTTTCCTTTTGTTCGGAAATTGGCTAGCTACGCAATGAAGGCGATAGCTTTGATGCACGAGCGCCACTGACTGTGCGATTGAGCCATTCCCTCCAATGTCAATAACCACTGGTGATTTGAGTCCCGGGTCCTCATCCAGGTAGACAGCAGTTGCCCACCTGACTTAGTTTACTGGCTGGTGTTTACTTACTTCGTTGCCAGGTCATAGATTGTCCACCTCTCGGCCGCTTCCACTCAGTACAGGGCTGGGCGAAAAGAGCTCTGCGAGGCAGACGATCTTCTGGCATGCGGAGTGCATAACCCAACCAGCGCAACTTATGAAGCATGAATAATTCATCTATCGCGGAGTTTTTTCTTCCTAAGACCGTGTGGCTAACCTCAGCATTACTAATCCGATGTTCCCACCAAACCTGACCAATGCTTCGGAGACACCGATGATCAAACACTGACCTCTTCCTTATGTCCTCTGCGCGTAGGGGCCACGTCTCTGATGCATAAAGCAGTGTAAACTCTTCCCTTGACAGAAAAGCTCGGGTGACATCGGCGCCATAGGTGTCGGCGGTTGGCAAAAGCTGCCATGGCCCTCCTGATTGGAAAAATAATCTCATCTCCAGCCAGTCCACAGGGACCTATACAGCTGCCCAGGTGAAAAAATTCATCTACCACGTCGATTGGCTCACCTGCAAGCATGAGGTGTGGGTTTGATCCCACCCAGTCTTGTAGCAGTACTTTACACTTTGCAGGTGTGAAGCGCATGCCAAACCCTGCAGCAGAGTTATTTAGGTTACTTAAAATCGCTTACAGTATGTATCGTTTGCATCATCATCATCATCATCAATGACAGCAACATCAGTGTTGGCACTGATGCTTCACTGCCGTATCGTTTGCAGTTGTATGTGAGCTGGGATAGTGTCAGGACGCCCCAACCTAGCGGGAGGACGATTAGGGTCCTCAGCCAAAGCCTTTGGCTCAAAGGCCCAACCGCAAGGCAGCTGTGTTCGGCATTACCATGCATTACCATTTCTACGGAACAAGTCGCCACATGTTCCAACCTCCAACCTGGAGGGTCGGGAGATTGTGTTTGACAACCTGGTGTGAGAAACTCTGTGCGTGCCGCGGGGGCGCCCCTCAGTATAGCTCAGTGAGTCGCTGAGGTGAGCAAGTCGTCACACCACGGTAGGGTCCAGCCTGTTTGTGAATGATTAACCTTGCGTGCGATGTTTGGTAATCAGAACGCTCTGGGGTCTGAGGAAGGGGAGCTGTCTGAGGGAATGCTGTAAGATAAGAACTTCTTAAAACTCATTCCATTTTGTTTGACAAGGGCCCGGAGTCCCAATGACTTTCAACAGCTTCTGTCTTGGCCTGACAACCTGGAAATATCCGAGCAATCCTAATCTCATCAAGTTGCACGTCAGCTAGGCACTAGAAGGGCCCACAAAGTGAGCAGTCTGGTTCACACCCAGGGACGTGGATTGATTGGTTTTTAGGGTATTTTTATTGCCTACCTTTTTCGTATTAATCAGAACCGTTTTCCACCTTTCTATTTTAGCCCTCCCAACCACTACAATGGTGTACTCACCATCGTAATGTACCCGAAAATCGTATTCTTTGGTCAAGTGACAAAATGTGAATTACTTTCCATTTCGTCTTCACGATGGTTAAGGGAAAATTCCAGGACTACCTTCCAACAAGAGGAAATTCGTGGACTTACAGCTGCCTACATTGCCGTGCTCACTTGGCCCGACATGAGGATCTTATAAGCAAGTCTTTCCAGGGTAGTCAAGGTCGGGCGTATCTTTTCAATCAGGTCAGTCCGGTACAGTTATCATAGCATTTCTCGCATTTTTGTCCCGCAAAACTTAACTTCCCTACAAATTTCATCATGACTGCCTAAGGTTTTTCATCAACCTTCCAAGTAATGTCATGTTAGGAAAAAACACTTTGATATCTTGGAACGAGAGGCGGTCTTGTTGGTACGTTCAGTTTAAGGGGAATATAAACGAGAATTTCCCTTGAGTCTCCCTTTAACACGGTCTCATTTTGTAAATGAGTTCTCACTGAGTTCTTTTAACAACCTGGCGTGGCAGTCAGGTACCGTAGGTGTGTTGCAGCCAAACGATTATTTATTATTTATTTGTGACGTACTATGGGTGAGATGGCCCAAGTGGTAAGAGCGCGAATCTACTGACCGGAAGGTCCGTGGTTCGTACCCGACCTCTACCTCTCGACTTCCCCTGTCTAGACTTGGGCAATCTGACAGTATCCCAGCCCTCGTGCTTCCTTCGGGTGGCATGGCAGCTAGGCACGGTGTGACGTACTGCATACTTACCACTGTCCCGGAGGAATGTTCAGTGCCATTAGGCCCCACTAAGCTATTTTTCCTCTCAGTGCCAACAATTTTAAAAACTTGGGAACCAAATCTGACTGCATCTTGCCTCGATTGAACTTCTGATATTAGTATGAGCTTGCACATAAAACTACGCCTCACAAAATACTTCGCCTGCAACCTCTCCTGGTCAGCTCATGCCAAACTTCTCCCGAATTCTGCCCCTGGGGGGGTGTTGTTCCGCATGAATGTCAACTTGGTCCTGCTCCGGCTTGAGGCCTCTCATCCCCACTCTACTCTATTCGGGACTTTGCCACCCCCTTACTAATAACCTGTGCAGACTAACTGTCGGAACGTGCAGTATGTCGCTTTGTTTTACTGCCACTTTCACTAGAGGTGTTGGTTCTTCTACCTCAACATATCAAACTTACAACCTGCCCATTTAATTCCAGCAGTCCTTTCAAAATTTTGATTGCCAGCTGTACGGCTAAACAGCTAGCCCATTCCTTCCTCGGAACAGTCCCTCTCTGGAACTCCTCACCGCTTTCTGCTGTTCCAAACTCATCCAAACAGCAGGTCTTCGAACATCGAGTCAATGTTTATCTGTTCACTCCGTACTATCTTTTGCGCACTTCGCTAATTCTCGACGTATGTTCTGAGAAGTACGAACCTTCCCCCCTCTGTAATCCACTTTCCCTTGTAATAGAAAATCGGGGATTCTGTTGACGAGACGGCAATCGATGGTGATCCCCCACTTCTGTGGTGTCGGTCCCTTCATGCTTCCATATTCCGTGTTTCGTTTCTCGTGTCCATCGCTTGCTGACCACAAAGAGACTGGACCTTACCAATATTTTGACGGTTTATGTGCCTCCGTCACTCGTTGAGCTATGCTGTCCGTGTGACACACGTAGAGTCTCATACCAGGTTGGTCAGTGCTTAGAGCTAGGTACAACATGGTGACCTGGTCCTCCAGGTCACGGTCCTTAAAAAATGTAATACACTAGCATTCCCTGCCAAACACCGCAGCCTTGCGGCCATGGCTTTGAACAGAAGGCTTTGGTTGAGGACCTTAGCCCCCAGTCCAGATCTGGATACCCTGGCATTATCCCAGCTTGCATACAACCACAACTTCTACAGCCAAAAATATTGTCATGTAACAACAGACGCCGCATGGTGTCATCAACCGAGTCGCTTTACTTGCTGCATAGGACCGGTTGGCGAAACTAGACTACTGCTGACATTTTCTTCCTTGCTCTTTCCCATACTTTTTCTTCCCCTTCTTCCCACCCCATGAATAACTCTCCCTTGTAGGCCCAATAACTAGGACTGATGAATCCGTTCGTCCGGCATCGGCTTTACAAGGAACATCGCGTCATTTGGCGCTGATATCTTCAGGCATCTCGAAATCAATATTCAAGCTTCGACGCCCAGTCAATCTAGATTGTTTCGATGTCTGAAGCAAGCAGGACAACAAGCCGCTGGACTCGCTTGATATCGATGTGTGCTGTGTATCAGAAACGAATACAAGATTCAAGCTAATTGTTTGAGCTAACCATCCCATCATCCTCCACTCGCTTCCGACTGCGCGTCTCTGGTGATCCAGAGGCTGCTGCGGCAAGATGTGCGGGGGTTGGTATAGTCCCAATTCACCGGAGGGATCCTTGCTTATCTGGATGCCTGTAGACAGTCGCTTCTGTGCGGCTCGTCCGTCAACGTCCGTGGATTCTCACAAGTGAAAAGTTTACCGTTGTCTGTTTATCGTGTTCCCTTACTTCTCAACCGACTGCAAGTTCAATACTATCAACGACAATTTTTAAGACGCCTTCAGTGCTCTCTTACGGCGGATGTTATTGGATATTATGGATACTGTTGTGGTTTCCGGGCCCCCTGACTTGAATTGGACTCGCTAATCATTGACTAGTGCGAACGACCATTCTTGGTATATGGTGACTGTAGACCGTCTTCATTCGGCACAGACTCCATATATAACCAACATTGTCTGGCTAAGTGATGCCCGCCACAGACTCATTTTGGTTACATCGTCACCAGTTACCGATGTGGTCGCTCAATCGCCGTTTGCTGTTCGTTTCGGAACACTTTTGTGGATTCGGTCCCATACACTCCTCTCTTCTTTCTTCAGGGTCGCGCATGGGGCAGACAACTGGCTTCATCATCATCATCATCATCATCATCATCATCATCATCATCATCATCATCGACAGCATGACACCAGTCTTCAACACCGATGCTTCACTGCCGTACAACCATGATGTATTTGAAGGCCTTACCGTAAAGAAAAGAGTAAAGGTGGACGGGGAAGGGACTTAGCGCTAGCTTGCCACAATCATTCCGTGGTGCTTACACCTCCAGACATTCACTCAGACAATCCGGATAGAAACTGACAACAACAACATGGAAAACAGCACTCTCTTCGGCAAACAATGGTTCGGGATATGCAACAGATGTCCGAACCAACACAGCCCCTGGTGCTGGACACATTCTTCAATCAAAGTGCCCATTGCACAACCGAAAACTCGCTTCCTAATTGCCTCGTTACGCATACGCCAACACCAACCCATACGAGATATGGTTCTGAGACGACGAGTGTGGAACACCTGAAGACGTCTCAGTTTCGCTGCTCGAACAGGCCAAGTCTCACAGTCAACAACACTGGCCTTCAACACACGACAACCGGCTTAGCAACCGAGAGGTTGGAAGATTCTAAAGTTTAATGGATTTTGGACTCTTCCAGTTTCTCAATCATCAGATGTCAATTCGCACTGGGACGAGCGGTTTGAGTGACAATTATCGCAGTCTTCTGTTGTTGCTCAGTCGAAGTCCAGAAATGTACTGGAACCGTGAACGGTGAATCTCGAACACATACGGCCTCGGAGGTTTATGATTGCATGTGTTCTCTCAGGCTCCACCGAGCTCCTAGTCTCTCATCCTCATTGTTCGAGAATGAGGGTGAATTCATCAGTCAGCGCGTGTCCAACCTAATTGCCTTCAGTTTGGAAAAGGAAACGGTCCCAGACAACTGGAGACGGTCCGGAGGTACTGCGTAATAGTTCCCGGCACGCTGATGACGAAGGCTGATTGGAGCATGAATGAAAGATAATGAAAGAAGCTATGCTTGTAGCTGTTAGGACCATCTGCTTAAGCTATCCGACGTGACCAAATGGCCGTTGGATTTCACTGACATTAGAATAATTGCTGTCAGAAAAGTCATATGAGCAACTAACGACCACGATGGCACATACAAGTCCCTCATACACCAGACATTCAAGGGCTTGAAGTTTGACAGAGCTCTCATCCAGAATGTGGAGAAGGCTTTCACTTCAGGCAACGCCCGCACCCAGTTTTATCTGATTGGATCAACAGGCCAAGAGAAGGCAAGTGAAAGCCAACTGATTTATGAAGAAGATGGATGATGGGAGACGATGTAAAGCACGGTTTAGCTGAACCCCTTCAAAGCGGCCCTTCTGGCAATCCAACGGACCTGAATGGGACGTGGACACCAGTCCGCCATCAGCAGCGTGATATACTTTTCCTTCAACGCGACAGGGAACTCCGGCTGGATTGTCCGCGCCGTGCACTTTTCAGAAATGTTGGTGAAACCCAGGTGATCGGTCTGACAACCCTACTTGAAATTCTCTGGGAGAAACTCAGAAGATCGATGCGGTTTGGTGAAACCAGGTGATCGGTCTGACAACCCTACTTGAAATTCTCTGGGAGAAACTCAGAAGATCGATGCGGTAGAAAGCTTCAACCATTATTCCAATTGCTAGAAAGGACACAAGTGTATCATACAACAGCCATCATGATACCAGCTTGGCAGCCGTAGTCTCGAAGATTCTCGCTCGTGTTTCATTGCGCAGGTTGATCGATAACCGAGAGGAAAATTTAAGAATCAGGCTAGCCGAGGATTTATTGGCCGTATCTTTACTTTGAGATGGCTTGTTGAACAGATCTATTCAGACGTCCAACGATGATCTGTTTTCATATCCTGAAGGTTATTTTTAACTTTGTCGATCGTCAGGAATTACGGCGCAGACCACTGACAGAATTTCCCTCCTAAATTCTTGCACCTCCCGTTTAGCTGTAACACCATTTCGGTGCCTAACTGCCATGCCACCCGAACGAATCATGAGGACTGAGATATTGACATATTGTGCCAGCCAAGACAGGAGCAGTCGCGATGCCGTGGTTGGGTTTGAACCACGGACCTTCCGGTCAGCCAGTTCGCACCTTAACCACCGGGCCTTTTGAACGCTGTGAATTAAGATCCATTTTGAATTTACCCTATGTTGTTGTATATGTTCCAACGGACTGGGTGAAAAGGAGGTCACTTCTCGAGCCGAAAACGCCAGAATAGCTTTTGCAAACCTTCGGCATCCATGGTGCCAGTATGCCGTCACTTTGTCTGTCAAGGGAGAAGTATACTTTGTAGCAGTGAGATCCATACTGCTCTACTGATCGGA